GGGGAGGGGACAGTCTGCCCTGCCCCGCCTGTTACGCCACTGTTTATAAGATGAATGGGAATATGAATCATGCAGATCTGGAATCAAATCTATGTGGTGGGGTCAACATTCCTCTCCAGGGAAAATTTCGATTTATAGATGGCGGGAAATGAGCTTTCCCGACTTCTGAGGTGTCTTTTTAATTACTTTTATGTTCTTCAAGATTCAAGGTTTTCCCATCTTGAAAACGGTCTGGTAATTTTTCCCCATTGTTATTACAGTAAATAGGGCTTATGTGTGTATACATACCGGTACATAACAATTTAAAAAAAAATGAGTAGGTGCATACGATTTTTCCATGAATCGATGAATCCCAAAAAGAAAGGGGGGTCTGGTTCTTCCCCAGGAAAATTTTGATTCCTAGAAGGCGGGAAATGAGCTTTCCCGACTTCTGAGGTGTCTTTTAAATTAAAGTCATTAAAAAATACTTCAGAAGTCGGGAAATCTCATTGTTCACCATTTAGAAATCAACATTTTCCCGGGAAGAACTCGAACATCCCTTTCCCTGGGTTCATTGATTCATTATAATAATTTTCAAGAGGGGAACACCTTGAATTTTGAAGAACTTAAAAGTAATTAAGTTCTTAAAAATTCAAGGTTTTCCACTATTGAAAACGGTCAGATAATTTTGTTCCCATTGTTATTACAGTAAATAGGCCTTATGTGTGTATACATACATAAAAAAAATGATTGAGTAAGTTGCATACGTAGTTTTTCCATGAATCGATAAATCCCATAAAAAAAAAGGGGGGTGCGGGGATTATCCCTGGGAAGGTCCTGTGATTCTTCCCCGGGAAAATTTTGATTCCTTGGTGGCGGGAAATGAGCTTTCCCCGACTTCTGTGGTGTCTTTTAATGACTTTTAAATTCTTCAAAATTCAAGGTTCCCCATCTCCACCCCTTTAAAATGATTCAATTAATCAATGAACTCCAAAGATAAAGGGTCCTGGTTCCCCGGAAAAATTTCGATTTCTAGATGGCGGGAGATGAGCTTACCTGACTTCTGAAATGTCTTTTAATGACTTTTAAAGTTCTTCAAAATTCAAGGTTTTCCCCTCTTTAAAAAGGTCAGGTAAATTTTTTATTTTATGTGTGTATACATACATAAACATTTGAGTAGTTGCATGCGTATTCTTTTTTCCATGAATCGATAAATCCCAAAAAGAAATTTTAATTCCTAAATGGCGGGAATTGAGCTTTCCCGACATTTGAAGTGTGTTTTAATGAATTTTATGTTCTTCAAAATTTTCTAATAGCAAAAAAAAAAAAAAAAAAAATCAGCTCGCGGTTCCTGAAAAGGTAGGTCTAGAATCCTTTTCTTTTTCCCCGTTTTTCGTTGCACAAGGGAGGGGTCAGGACCCATGATCCCCTCCCCCCTGATCCGCCAATGTGAATTGCGAGAAAATGTAACTCGGTCGGGTACTGGATAAACATTCTCTTTCCCATCCTTCTCCTTCCCTCCTTTTTTTGCATTTCTGATCATACAAAATTCTCCAGACATTATTATATATTTTTCGCCAAAAAGTGGGGTGGGGCGGAGGCCCGGGCCTATAAATTTAATTCAATTGTTTATTGACTCGTATGCCATCATGGGCCATTATCCACTCAGCAAAAAGTACAAATGCAATATGATATTGTAATACAGCATATTCTTTTATAATTAACGTTGACTAAACGCTGCCATTATATTACTATAATGAATTATTCCAGTGATAGATTTTTTATAACTATCAATCCTTAATTTCCGCAACTGAAGAATAATTTCGCACTACTCAAGGCGCTCTGACTTCCTATACGTACGGTCTGAACACCTGCTTAACGCAACAGAAATCTCAGTATACAGAGTAGAGTTAGTATGCAAATCAATTCAACGTCGAAAATAATGTCTATTATTCTATATTTCATGCCAAGAAATGTGCTGATTACTTTATTATTCATATAGAGTGGCTAATATTAATTTTACTTGCATAATTGCGATTTTCATTTATAGCTGCCAGTTTAAGAGTACATTACTAGCAATTCTAGGCATGTTATTCAGACCCGTATAATATTCGTATAAATTCATAACTATACAAATAATGTAACGTATTTTTATGTCTTCTTCGCTTTGTATCCCGTGTGACATTAAAAATTATTATTAGAGCTATATATAGAATATTATTCATGGATTTGTACAGCTGTCACAAATCATTATATTTTGGATGTTTTGAGTTTATATATCGATAAAACTATTCTATATGTTGGAATGATATCGAATGGATCTGGTAAATTGAACCTCTTGTATTTTCTATTACTCAATTTATTAAAAATCAGCAATCGGATTTCTTATTCATCTATGCCTTTTAGGTTGTACCGCACTGTCTTATGAGGCAAATACAGTACTAGACGTGAATTTTCCAATTAATATAAATCAAAGCGAAGCTGTATCCACCGCATTTGACGACAAACGTTCAGAAAACCTCGGAGACGTCACATCGTTATGCAAACAATTAATTGCATACTGTTGGACTGCAAGCAATATTGTTAATATTTCGCTGTATTTTTTGGTTGAATTTTAGGCTTAGGCCTAGAAATGGAGAACCACATGCATAGTCAATATGACGTTGATTCAAATCGATGGCTGGTGCCGTGTTTTCTTATGTTTGATTGTGTGACAGTGTTGTGCTTAGCTGGACTGGTTTACTTTTTTGGGTTTACTGAACATTTTGAGCCCGCGTCTCGAGGTTTCTTTTGTCATGATACTGCGCTTAGTATGCCCCTTCCAAAAGATGAAGTAGCACCGGAATATGCTCTCTATACAACTGCTTTTCTGGTTCCTATTGTAATAGTAAGTATAATTCTATGTGGATTGGCAAGTAGTATTTTCTAGTTACATTTAATAACTAAAAACCAAAGGATCCACTGATTATACGTAAATAGAATATGAGTATGGTGACTCCGAAAAATGACAGACGTGAGGCCATAGTTGATTCTACGTTTCGTTCTTTATTGGAACATTGTCAAGAATTGTCATTCTTGACAATATTCTATTTAATAACTACGTTATACTTTTTCAATAAGCAAGAGCAGCGTAGCTCACTCGAGTAAACCGGTGGTAGCCACTGTGTGTGCGCTGAACCGTGGAAATTTAGGTTCCCGGTTCAATTCCCATCGCCGCTCTCTTTGTGTTTCTGCTGGAGGGTGCTAAAATACGTCTTTTGGATAAGGCGTTTAATCAGCTGGTCCCGTGCGCATATGACCCATGTGCACGTTAAAGTACGCAGTAGTCCTACACTCTTGGAAAAAGAGTAGGGGGTTGTTTCCCAGTGTACTTCCCAATTCACCACCAGAAGGAGCCCAATGGAAACAAGTCTTCCGACTTAGTGGTTTATCATTGGTGTGATTCACACCGAAATACTCCCATCCTATCCTATCCTATTCTAATACTATATTTCCAAAAAATTTCATCTGGTTTCATAAGTATAAGTGGAAAATTATTTGTTTTGTTGAACCAATAAGTTGTTTAATTTAGCAACGGTTTCACGCTCATATTCTTCAGGTTAATGAGCACTTGTCCATTAGTCTGAACAAAACAAAAGTAATTAGTTAAAAAAAAACAATTTTCCACTAAGTAATAATATTTTATTATTTGGAAATTACGTGTCTCAAACAACATTCTACTTTGTGAGAATTGTCCTAATAAAAATATAGATGATTAATCTAATAACTATTTCTTTTAATTATTTCAACAATTTAATGGCCTACACACTGTCCTCACAATTATCACCATCGTCATCGTTATTATTATTATCATCGTCTTTATGAATATAACCATCATCAATGTCATCATCGCTATCATTATCATCATCGTCGTTCATCATCGTCGTCTTTATTATTACCACCATTATCATTATCAACATCGTCATCATTCAACATCATTATTATCATCCTCTTGATTGTCATCACAGTCACCATCGTCGTCATTATCATTATCATCCTCAATCAATTCAATTCACTTCAATTCTGTAATAGACATAAACTGGAAAAACAGTACAGCCATAAACAAAACGAAAATTACACAAACAACATACATCACAAAACGTTCATTTAAGTATCATAAATTGTAAACCAATATATTTTCGTAAAAGGAAAACTTTTTTAACAAAGGTTGATAATGGTAAAATACTATCATAATTAGTAGTGCTCATAATGTCGGAAATGTTAAGTGGTGTTCGCTCGAAACGAATGGCGTCTTTTAAATCATGTATAAACTTGAAACGAAGATAATCATAGTAATTTCCCAGTTATTGCAATAGATCATAATTCCAATTGGAGCGACAAAAATTGTAAGGATAAAGAAGATCACTGGGAACTTTCACTTAAAACCACCACAGCTTTTGCCATTTGGACTAAAAATTTCGAAGGTTCAAGACTCAAGATTACAGATTCCAATCATTGTCATATACAAATACAAATACAAGTACAATATATGGAATATATTTTATCGCTCTATCTCTTTCTCCGTCTTCCCCTTTTCCCCTTTTTTTTTTTTTTTTAGAGAGAGAGCAGCTTAGCTCAGTCGGCGAATCTGGTGGTAGCCACTGTGTGTGCGCTGAACCGGGGAGATCTCTAGGTCCCCGGTTCAATTCCCATCACTGCTCCCCTTGTGTTTCAGCTAGAGGGCTGAAATATAAGTTACAATCGCATCGTCTTGTAATAGGTTTAAGCCGTTGGTCCCGTGTGCGTTTATGGCCCATGTGCACGCTGAACGCAGTACACTCTTCGGAAAAGAGTAGGGGATTGTCTCTCGGTGTACTGTCCAGTCACCACCAGAAGGACCCCACTGGAAATAAGTCATTCTTCATTACTTTTGTGGGCTATCCTTGGTGTTTACTCCGAATAAATCCAATCCAATTCAATCCAATCCCATCAATGTTGTCCAATAATATATAATAATAAATAATATAATATACATGAAGACAGACAAGGATGCTACGAAAAGCATCTAATTCAAACCCTGCTACGTAAGACCAGTTAGTAAAACAAGAGAAAAAAAAAGTCAGACATTTACTATAGGATCATTTTCCTTTTCTCGGACCTAGTTTTATTTATATGCACATCATATTTCTTATTTATTAATTTATTTATTTATTTCAACAATATTTTGTGGGGGTGGTCCATCCAGCCTGATCTGATCAATTGGGACCCTCAGTACATACAATTAAAACATAAGTATAAAAATTAAACTTGATCTTTAACATAAGCAAATTAATTAAATTAAACCAGGAAAAATTAATAATAATAATAATAAAAATCAGAAAAAAGATATAGGCCTACAGTATATAAATTATATATAATAATGATTTAAGGAAAACATTAAAAATAAAAAAAATTCTTATTCATGTATGTATATATATATCAAAATCTATCTTTGTGATATACCTTATAAGGTTTATATGGAAATGTAATTATTCCCGCAAGAAATTTCTTTAATAGGATAATAAAGATATTTTAATCTTAGAATGAAATTTTGAAATACGATCCTACATAATATTGTTAATGATGTTTCTAGAATGAACATAAATAAAGGCATCTGTATCATATTTCCACTATAATATCAACTATTTTCAGTTTACTGATTACCATCCTTTGACGATAAATTGCGAATAGTTGAATATCAGGCGATCGTTGTATTTGATTAAGGATATGCCATTGTCAATAAATATGAACCTAATTAATATTGTTGCTGATTATAGAGTACAGCATACGCTTGATACGTTCATATACATACATTTTAATCAGGATGTATTTGTTACAGCCGTTTTTCACAATTGTGGAAAATCGACGCTAGTTACTAATGATGCACAAACAGTAATTAATGGAATGTTATATTTAGTCTGTTACCTTAGCGAATAATGTATTAATGTGGCATTGTAAATACGTAGGTTCATTGTAGCGACGGATATAGAAGGGGCCTAGAAAAGAAAATTCACAGAATATAAAGGATCAGCCTACGTCAGAGGTCCCACCGTGGTTGGGTCTCGGAACCCCGAAATTTGACGTGTATATGTCATTTGTAGACTGCAGGAAATGTTACTCTCAGACTTTTCAAATGTCATTTGTTTCCCCCCCCCCCGCAAAAAAAAGTCAAGACGGCTATATCTACTATTATTCCTATATGTATTATTCTAGAAGGGTCCAAGACGATATCCCTCACCTTGAACTCGCCTATGTAGTTCTACAGAAGTATTGAAAAAGCAGTTGGATCTGCAATTGTAGAACTGGAGTATGGAAGACTAATCGAGGGTCATTGATAAAGTTCGATGAGGGGAAGGTGATAATGAATAATTATTAATCATGACTATGATGTTGATAATGGTTATAACAACAACAACAACAACAATAATAATAACAATAATAATAATAATAATAGTAATAATAATAATAATAATAATAAATAATAATAATGGTATAAAATAAATTGATAATGGTTATAACAACAATAATAATAACAATATAATAATAATAATAATAATAATAATTGTTATTGTTATTGCTGTTATTGTTATTGTTATTATTATCATTATTATTATCATTATCATTATTATTATCATTATTATTATTGTTATCATGGTCATTATTATTATTATAAATTATTGTATTCATGAATTATATGTTTATGTCATATTATAGGTCGTCATAGCAGAGACGTGCATCGCTTTGAAACCAAATTCTAAACAGCAATTATCGCTCTATGGTCAAAAAAACATCAGAAGTTGTAACATACATTTGAAAACTGTGTTAAGGAGGATAATTCGCTTTACAGGTTGGTTAATGGGAATCTTGTAGATTATTTACAGCATGTGTAAATCCAAGATAAACATCAACGCTTAATCGGATTCTAGTATGTTTACGACTTAAATGTATTACTAAGAAAATATCGATCGATGCTAGGTAGGCCGCTATGCGTTGCTTTAACAGTTTGTTCCATATATTGAAATGCTCAAATGGAAATCTTGTAGATTATTTACAGCATGTAAATCCAAAGATAAACATAACCTCTTCATGGGATTCTAGTATGTTTAAGGAGGCAAATGCGTCGCTATGAGAGTTTGTTCCAAATATTGAAATGTTCAAAATAAGGACGACGTGTAAATTATTATTGCTTTGTTTTGCTTTCTAATTTACTCTTTCCTTGTTATTTAAAGCTATTTTTTTTATGTGATGATGAATATTCCAAAATAATTTAAATCAATACAAAATATATATATAAGAAAGAACGAATTTATTTCGCTAAGCAGGGAAGTGGTATAGTTTATTATGGCACCTTCCTAGTATGAAGCCCTGTCCGTAGGCCTACTCTCAAATTTTATTTTACAAAGCAACTGCTCATTATGTCAACCGATTCCACCTAAGTAATCTGTTTCGGTGACAAACAAATTGCTGACATTGCTGGCATCAGTACTTCTGTACTGATGCCAGCATCAGTCATCAATCATCTGAGCAGAATCCCCTAATCAGGTTTGGGTACGTCATCATAAATGGTGATGTCACCGAAACTGATACCTATCAAATCATTTAGGTACAATCGGTGCATATTATGTAGTCATTATGAGCCTAGTGTCATGATGTGATTTCATCATGACCATTTATATTAGGCATGCCACATGTTTTTGTCAAATAAATGTGTTATTCTGGACAGTGCTTTAGTTCAAATATTATCAGTCATTAAAGTTCAGACTAAAGGCCTGGTTATATTATGGCTCTAACGATCAACTATAACAGCTAAAAAGCAATATTATTGTTCATTTAGAAATTAAAAGAAATAAGAGAAGTTTTCCACTTAGCACGATTCGATAACGGCTTATTGTTTATACGATAATAAAATAATTTCACGAATCAAATCAAATGACTTCATATTCGTGGGAAAACGATAAAATATTTTTACTAGTACGATTTTTTCGTTTTTCCATGATTATGACGTCATTTGATTTGATTTGTGAAAATATTTTTTTATCGTATAGCCTACACAATAAATCCTTATTGAATCGTGCTAGTGTGAAAACGTCTCTTTTTTTTTAACTTTCTGTACAGGAACAATTGATTTAGCTTTGTGTCATTGATCGCTCTCGTCAGTGTTACCAGGTTTGTACAATCAGTTATCTACTATAATTGCAATCACGTGAAATAATTGGAATTTTTCTTCACCGGCTGTGTATATACTGTCTCTTATACACATCTTGGTTTTACATCAGGTATCAGTTTATTTGGAGGTTTAGTCACATGGTTAATGACGATCGGCTTACAGTTGGTGACCGGACAGCAAACACCGTTTTTTATTGCCGCCTGCAAACCAAATTGGTCGCTTTTAAATTGTAGTGAATTTGTGACAAACTACACTTGTACATCTTCAGATATGGATCTCTCAAGAAAAGCAAGGTAGGTAAGCATAAGTCTGTTAGTAATGAAAATAAAGATTAACAATAATAATATGAATAATAATTAATTTGATAATGTTAAAGATGTAGTTTAATTTTCATCTTATCTTGTAGTATGTGCTGAGGTCCAAAATGATCAGCGCTGGATGGACAACTCTAAAAATAATATTTAACATAACGATAACAACAACAACAACAATAATAATAATAATAATAATAATAATAATAATAATAATAATAATAATAGTAATAACAATAGTAATAATATTAATAACAATAGTAACAATAACAATAATAATATAAGTAATAATAATAATGATGACAATAATAATAATAATAATAATAATAATAATAATAATAATAATAATAATAATAATTATATGAAAGTGATATTTCACTATCTATATTTCCAATGTAACAGTCTTATTTGCCATGGAAAGGAGTGTATGAATGTACGTAAGAACTGTTGCCATAGTATATTCTTGTAGCAGAGCAGGGTTTTTTGCCAGCATTATACTGCTTTTTTTTATGTCTTCGTAAATCAATATCAATATTTTGACAGCTGTGTACAAGTATAATAAATACCTGGCACAACCCTTATTGAAGTGGGTCTTTGTTAGTGGTGGCGTCAGAATTATTCTTGATCAATCATGAATATTCATCATTTGTAAATAGTACATGTTAATGATTATTACATCATGTGATTTACAGTAAAGGTAACGATTCAAACACATGCAAATAATGTATTATCACCATTTAATTATATTGCTTTCTGATCGTTTTTAATACATTCGTTAAGAGCTATGCTACACGATGTATTATTATGTCGTTTATTCTAACTCTGTATTTACATTTCTTTGATGATTATTATTTATTTATTGCACATCCAACAGTGTATACACCAATTACAGGATGAAAATATAAAATATAAAAACTTACACAATATCAATGGAAAACCTAAAGTTATTTTACAGACTCAAATGTGATAGACTTAAACTGAGAGAAACTACAATGAAAAATATCAAATTCAGGATAATTACAAACACAATTATTATAGAACGAAGACAGTCTACCAAAAATACCATTTTTACAAACATTAACACGTGAGAATTGTACATATAAAATAGGCTTAGAACGAAGTCTACGAACAGGGACATTAAGATAGAAATTAGAAACAATATTACAGGTAAACATTGAATTTAAACACTTATATAAAAAAAGTAGGTCATTAATTTGTCTTTTAATCTTTGGAGAAATAATAGGAGTTTGGCAAGGCCAACAGGTTTCTTGGCCGAGAAAACGTAAAAATATATATATATATATATATATAATTTAACAGTGTTAACGGCTATCTTGACTTATATTATATTACATGCAACTATTTGTTTCTAGCCGTAATTATTGTGTAATGGAGGGTATCTAGTGGTATTTGAATCTGTTCAACCATGAAGCCTCCGTGGCCTAATGGTTTTGACGCTCGCCTTGACAGCAAGAGGTCGCAGGTTCGAATCCCGCCAGAGGAATTTTAATACACAATTTCTGTATTCATTTATTTACAGGAATCCATATGTTGTGTGCTATGCTACACGATGTATTATGTCCTTTATTCTAACACTGTATTCCTTTCTTTGATGATTATTATATAAATTAACAGTGTTAAAGGCTATATATATTTATATGTGTATATATAATTATATATATATGTGTGTGTATAAAGCATAATGTAATCCACGTGTGATCTTAGGTATATAACTCAATTGAAAAAGCGTGCCATGGAAGGAGTGTATGAATGTACGTAAGGACTGTTGCCATAGTAGATTCTTGTAGCAGAGCAGGATCTTTTGCCAGCATTATACTGATTTGTTTATGTCTTCCTTAATCAATATCAATATCTTGACAGCTGTGTAAAAGTATAATAAATACCTGGCACAACCCTCATTGCTTTCTGATCGTTTATAAATACTCAGTTTTGCATTATTTTACTTCTCCCTAGGGAACTTTTACGGAAATACATTAACTAAAATAAAATGTCCTGCTGTAAATATAAAAATAAACAAT